AACATGAAAAGCTTGAACAATGCAAACGAAACGCTGCAGAGTAAATGTATGACTGCACGTGGGTGTCACGCAGACCGCGATGTACTTATAGTGTATTTCGCTGCAGACGGTTGGGCGTGTCAGGCGGGATGAGTTTGGCGCGGTGCCAAACCCGTTCTCCACCAGCTTTTAAAGCGAGCAAGTGATAAGTCTGTATCCCATCGTCGCTACCAGTGGTTGTCGCATGTGCGCTTCAACAAGAAGGCAGAGAACGGCTTTGACGGCGTGACACACTCATACTGCCTGACACGCCCAACCGTCCGCAGCGAACTAGAGTATACTTCTACAGGAAACCCGTTAGTGCTCAAAAAAGCGCAAACTAATACGAAACAGATAGTTAGATTAGAATCCCGAAAGTAAGTAACTATGCGCAGAAGAAGACAAAGATTTACTCTCAATTTTCTCTTACTTACTCACCGGTATTGATGACAGGTATTCCATTCCATTTGCAACTTGCATTGCGAAAGAAATCAAATCGCTAGTGGCTAACATAGTACTATCAGAAATCAAGCGATCCGATTCCATGTCATTTGACCAGTCAGGAATTTGTTCGGACTGAAGAGTTCGAAAGTAAGTAATGAAAGGAAATAATCAAATAAATGATTATTGTCAAGGAAGTAAAAAAAACAAAGGGAAATAAAAAAAGAGCAAAAACAGCAGGAACTCACGGCATAATGGCTCTTGACACTGGAATCAGGTCTCAGATAACCGTCATCAGGTATTTGAGATTGCTTTAGTTCATTGATGAATTTATTCTTGTGCTTCAGGAGATATTCTTTAAGACTACCATTATCACAGAGCTCCACAACCACATAGAGTTCACCACTGGAAAATTAATTGTTAATAGCAGGCATAGGGGGAGTGCAATGGCATACGGCACGCTTGTGGTTCGGGGATCAAATTCTGGACCGGTTCCCGCCCAAGGCGATCAAATTCTGGACCGGCTTCCGCTCCAGACCAACCAAGTCTTCTATCATCAGGGGCCAGTGAATCGGTGCCAGGTTCGTTCCGGAGGATAAAAACACTATTCGACCAGCCGCGCAAGTCATTGTGTAGGCCATATTGCATTCGATAAGAGTCCGCGATTCCGAATGGAAGTGGAATGCGTGCCGCATCCCAAAAAGGATTGATTAATTGCGAGGACTTCATAGTTTATTCTTTCACTAACGAGCATCTCGACCTGGGTTTCCATAATTAGAGTCCCATCGTCATCGCAAGCCTCCTACGTTTTGCCCGGGAACGGTGAAAATAAGAAGAAAGACGCTTAAAGGCAGTTGGCACGATAAA